TATTCAAATTAGGTCTTAACAATTTAAAAAAAAAAAATATTGCGGTTATATTTATTTTGTCAAAAGTACAGACAGTGCCTTTCTGATTTAAGCATCAATCAATATCAGGGAAATTAATAAACAGGCGTATCAACCTTGACATCTATTTTACACATTTAAACATTTTCGAAGAATGCAAGACATTATTATTTTTGTAACTCCATAAATATGCTTCCATCCATCATGTGTTGGTGCATGTATATATGTGTTTTGCAGCTAGGGGGCGCTAGTGGCACTGCACGGATCATTCCTACTTTCCCTGGGATAGTCGGTGAGATTCGTACATCGTTTTTTCATCTAATTTAGAAATGTTTTTCATGATGTATTTTACAGTTACGAGTGCACTAGTATATATTGCAGGATGTAAACCTCTTGGAATAATTGAGTTAATTGCATCAAAAGATGCAGGTAACAAAAATATGCAGGTGAAAAAGATATATTATGATGAGTCACTCAGACCTAGACATGTATAATGTTCATGGATTGGTTTTTAACAGTAATTTATAAGGCTTGAAATATTCAAGGTAGCAATTTTGCGAATTCAGCTGCCGGCTGACTGTTTAACCTACTATTTTATGGCCAACTTATTTAAATATGAATAGTAGCTGTAACAAAAAAGTAGGTTAAACCATCAGCCATCGGTTAAATTTGCGATTGTTGATGATTTGTGAGTATAATTGCATGGTCATCTAGCTAATTAATACATCAAGAATCTTTGAAAGATATTTTACTGAAAATGATGTGAGGAAGCCATTAAATCTTACATTCTTAACAAGTAGATTGAGGTATGGGTCAAGGGTCATTGTTTCTGTATATTCATCCTGAGTCATGAATCTTGATCATTTTGTTTGTTTTTTTTAATTAGGGAAGATGGATATAGTAAAACCTGTCTAATCAAAAGGCCACTGAGACCAGCCAAAAGTGCTCAGATTTGGTCTTCACATTTCAAGATTTCTTTGTATGTTAGTCGATGAAGATGAAATATTTGGGACCGAGAAGAAATGTTTGGGAGTTATTGGATTAGAGAGATGTTAGATATACAGGTTTTACTGTATTAATGTACATTGTATGTCAATATCATCTCACCAGTTTGCTTAGTTCTGGGTGTTCATCCATTTCTTCATTATAGTCTATCTATGCATGGGCTTTCAACTAGCAGGGTAGGCAACCCTTTCTAATTGAAAGCCCATGATCTATGCGATAACGTCTTTATACTTAGTACTTAGAGTTGCTGTTTTTTTAGTTGTAAGTCTGAAAAATCCTTATTATACATTGTAATAGGTCAATTTCATCTTATCAAAGCTATTTTACAATTAAAAAATAAGATAAATAAGCATGGGAAGGTGATTTAAATTTGGATTTTGGTATATTACATTTTTAAGCTCTGTGTGGAATTAATGAGTGCCTTTAAGTGTTTCTGAAGGCTGAATGAGAAAATCAGTAAATTTATTTTTCCCTTGAAGCAGACAATTTAGAAAGAATTAGGTTGAAAAACAATTATCTTGAAAACATATGTATTTTTTAGTATCCCATGGTGTTGAAGTAGTTTGCTGACCATGTTTGTTTTCTAAATATTTGGTGTTTGTTTGTGAGACCTTGTGATGCCACAATTAAGTAGCCATGGCTACCATATCCCATTGGCTTACAAATATCACATAAATGCCACCTAGCACCTAAACAAACCTACATCTGAGGATTTACTAATATTCATGTGGTTTGAGATCCTGGAAGCTTGAATATTTGTGAATACTTTAAGAAGAGAAATCAGGAGATCACAACATCCTGTATATATTATGATGATATCATACCTTTACATCATCATATCTCTTTATGCCACTAGGAAAACAGGGAAAACAGGTGCATGAGATCATAGTATTATAAAATTCAAAGAAAGCATATCATACATAACATCCTCTTTAGTATGATATCAAATCCTTACATCCTCATATCTTTTTATGTCACAAGAGGAAAACATGGAAAAAATCAGGGGAAACAGGTGCATGATATCATTAAGTCACCTATATTAAGTCACCTAGCATTATCAAATTCAACAGATTCGACTCAAAATCTAAATGGTGTCAGGATTAACTCGTCAACAAATGAAAATAATATCAACAATTGCACTTAAGCTTCCTTCAGTCTTACTTAACTCACATATCAGTTTCAGTCTCAGGGGGAGAGGGGGGGGGGGTGAAAGTTGTTAAAAATGAATCTCCCCTGGCTACAGGCCTGTTTTTTATGCAAAGAAATCTTTAAATAATAGTAAAATGTGAGATTCCTGGGACTTGTTTATATAACTATTTGTGTACTCTTTTTTGTCCAATAGTTACATAATAATCAGTAGCTCACATAATTAACGGACCAACACTTGTCTTTATGGTAGTCTTTTAGCCTGTATTTTTACACTTTATACAGATCAGTTTGTGAACAGGTTAGACAAAGTTCAATAAACTTATAATACACTGCCATTAATACTTAATCTCTCTATATATAAAGATCATTAATATTTTGATAAACTTACTAATGATGATATATACGCAAATTTATGCGTGAATCATATTTTTGTACCTATTTACCTGACACATTTTTTTAAAAGGGGTAATACAGGCATTTGATTCATTTACTGAATGCCCCCTGAAGCTGAACCTTTCACATGAGAGAGAATTAATTTTCTAATAAACTGCATACCTTTTTTTGTCTGGATGAAATCTGTATTGCTCTTTAGCACTTTAAAACTAGGTTTCATTGAGCAACTCAAATAGAAGTTTCAGATGACAAACTCAATTACTCAGATGCGAGTAGGTAATTACCAGTTTCGCTACCTGGTGACTGATTCGGGGGAAATAACATGGCAGGGTATTACAAAATTCCCATAAACTTGAATTTTCATCAGTTTTAGTGGTTTACTTTTCATATTACCCTCATGTATCATCTCTTTTTGAGAAACTGAGTAACTAAAAAACTGACTAGGTACCTAAGTCTTAAACTGAGTACATAAATTGAGTACTGAGTAACTAAAATCAATAATTTTGTTTGAAAATCAGGATATACATTCCTCTGAAGGTTCTACACTGTGTGAGCACAGGACCATGGGTACTTTATTTTTATTTTCTGCCATTTTAGCCTTCATTCACTCTTGAGCAACACCATGCTAATTTTGAAGTTCTCATGTTTATAACACAGAGTTGCATAACACTTCTCTTAAAAACCCATGTTTCAAATAACTATTTGAATGACCAATTTCGATGTGAACCATCATTCTTGTGAAAGTGTTGCTGAAACTTATTCTGTGATATACATTGGACAAGTTTTTTCATTTTAATTCTCTGCCCAATTTTCAACATTTTATGAAATAAGTGAAGAAGGTGGGGTTTTGGATTAGAGGTAAAACTTAATTAATTAAGTTAACATACATTAAACTTTTGATGCCTCCCCTTATATTTAGCAAGATATATGCATTGTTAAAGCAACCTTTGGAGTTCTCTTGTTGGCTATCTTGAGGACAACGTGACCTGTAACAATTGTGTTATTATAGGTCAGATATTGCGAGCTATTGTCAAAACAAGCTCTCCTATTAGTGTGAATTATGTTGTTAGTATGATTTATGCTATACAGAGACAGAGTGTATTATATGTAATTTTGATATAATAGAAACTCAAATAAATTGTGTGAATAGAATGCTTATGGTTTGTAGGAGTTGTTTGTATATTTTCAATGTTGCTCTAGGTGCCTTCTTCATCATCCAAGATCCCGCGGTCCTAACTTCGACCGTTAATTTGAATTTTTGACCTACCGGATGTTTTAAAATCAAGGATTACGAGTCTCATACTGCACCGTTTTTCTTCAAACTTGTTCCATTCAAAGCATAACAAAAATCCCTTTCTGATGGTACATTATTCTTTTAAACAGAGTCCCTACTTCCAGCGGCATTATGGTCCCCAGCTGTAAGAAGGCCTTCTAACAGCTGGGGACCAAAACGCTGCTAGAACGAGGGACTCTTTACAATAAAGCAATGCACCGACAGAAAGGCAATTTTGTTTTGCTTTTAATGGTATAAGTTTGAAGAAAAATGGTGCAGTATGAGACTCGCAATCCTTGATTTTCAAGCATCTGGTAGGTCAAAAATTCAAATTAACGGTCGAAGTTAGGACCGCGTGAAGATGGGTTTTATTTTAAAAATGATAGGAAAAACTGCCTCAATGTATCTTAAAGAGGTATTCCAATATAAGAGTTAATATTGAGAAGTGTTCACTTGCCTCATGAGGTGTTCACTATAAAAAGTGTTAGTGTTAAACACTTAGTGTTAGTGTTCATATTCGACAGGCTTTCGAAATCGAATGTCATTTCTTCATATGTATACAGGGCTTGAGCTAAGGGTCAGTCCACTGGTCATTTGCCAGGGGGTCATTAACATTAACCTAGTAAAGTTACGATTTCGGAAATCAATTGTTGTAACCATGGATATAATGACGTCACAGTTAGAGAACAATTGGTTTTACGAATTCTTAACTTTATGAAGCTTCTGTTAATGGCCCCCAGGTTAATTTAGATACCGACCAGTACAGGAAAGTAGCATTGCAACTGGTCAGTAATGCCATTTTGACCAGCTTCTTTCAGAACCTTAACTAAACCTGTATACATATAGGTTGGTAAAACTGGTACTGTGTACATAATATGTAACCTATGATTAATTAAAGATAAACAATCAAAAGTGGTATATTTAAAAATAGGAATAAATGGATAAAAATAAAAAATAAAATACAAATAAGGAAATCAAATTAAACTCCCCTGTGACCCCATCTCCTAGGGGTCAATTACTTGTACTGTTTTGAATTATAAAAGTAACTCAAATGTTCTAAGTACAATGAATTATGAATTTTTATGACGTAAAATACTTTCAGTACTGTATCCCTAAACTTCTTGTAGTATAACTTTGATACTAAAAATCTCTTTTGTTTCAGTGGGGGACTCAGCAACTATTTGTACCTGTGTTCTCTACCGAAGGATGTTGATCCAATCAATGGCGAACCACGTCACATTCTCCTGCGGATCTATGGACAGATCCTCGTGGAACACCCAGATACTATGGTGTTGGATTCTGTCATCTTTGCACTGATGTCTGAGAAAAAACTAGGACCAAAGCTCTATGGGGTCTTCACAGGAGGACGGTTGGAGGAGTACATTCCCGTAAGGACCCCTTGAATAATCACATCTATTGTACACAATAAATTCAATTAAGGATTGTTTAAAGATTCACATCTTCAATTCACCATTTAGTTTTAGATAAATCAACCTTTTTGAAACATTTATTTCCAGGCGAGGTGTCTTCTTACGGAAGAGCTTCACATTCCTGTAATATCTCTGGAGTGCGCCAAGCGTATGGCACGTATACATCAACTCCACATGCCCCTCTGTAAAGAACCAACTTATATATGGGACGCTATGAAAAGGTAAAAATCATAGTTATCTTAAACTAAGATACTCTTGTTTGATTGTTCATTTGAAAACAGTGAATTTATATGGAATCATATTCAACATATTGTTGTTTCCTTGTCATAACCAGTAATGGTCTTTATTTACCAGTAATGGTCTTTAACCAGTAATGGTCTTTAACGATCTTTGCTATGTACTTGTTATAGCAGATTGAATTGAATGAGTAGTAATTGAATATTGATACAAGTCAGTTTGATCTACTATTTTAATACTTTTTCAAATGAAGATAATTTCACATTACTTATCAATCAAAGAGATTAAACAGAACTTCAAAGCTAAGAGACACTATGTGAACTCTTCTATAAAGTACTGTTATTGTCAAAGTCTTAGTTTTCATGTCAGTACCAGAAGTGGTGACATATTGTTACAGTCTCCACCCTTTTTGTGGATGCATGGTGTTTGACAGTTGGCATTTGGTGTTTTGCCATTTGGTGGTCAGTGTGTGGTCTCTGTAACAAATGGCAGATGGTGACATTTTGCATTTGAATTGCCTTGTTTGTGATGGTCCTTGGTACAGGCATTGGCATTTGGTATCTGTAACGAATTGTCACACTTTAAACCTTTTGTCATGCAATTGTATTCACGTAGTATACTATGTTTTATATTTCACACTATAGATGGCTTGATGAGTCCCTCAATGAGATAACATTCGACCAATCAGATGTTGATTCCACAGTGAAGTTCAACAAACTGCTAAGCTACAACCTTGCTGAAGAATATGAGTGCCTAAAGTAAGTATAGTTAAATCTTTCAACTTGAACATCCCTCTTAAGATGAACACCTCTGTACCATGAACACTCTTCAGATCTATCTAGTATGTTACCAACACAAGTGGTGACATATTTGTTCTTTTTTGTGGCAGTCAGCGTTTGGCATCTGTAACAAATAGCAGATGGTGACATTTTGCATGTTAATGCCCTGTTTGTATTCATGCCATTAGTCCAATGTTAATTCACCTCTTAAAGAACAATCTCAAACTTGAACTTTGGTGGGTCCTGAGAGTGTTTACCTTCAAGGGGTTTTACTCTACAGTGTAAATGTCACATTACAAATTAATAGCACCTTTTTCAATCATTTATATCTTTGGCTCATCGACTGATAATGCCTAGCTTAAAAATAGTATACTTTCAAATTACGGAATATGAATTATACAAATTCTTGGTTTTTTCTGGCCTTTTATCCTCCCTCAGAGGAAAGAGTGTTACATAAATAGTGTTCACATTTTGAATTTGTGAGATTTGTATATGTTGTTTATCATTGCATAATCTACACTCTAACCATTTGATATCAATGTTGCTTCACAGTATACTATCTATGTTCTGCTACAATGACATGCAAGAATTATTCAATGTTTACATGTTAATACAAGGGAAATCCTAGCTGCTGTACATTCCCCCTTTGTGTTCTGCTACAATGACATGCACGAATTATTCAATGTTTACATGTTGTGTTGTAGGGAAACCCTAGCTGCTGTACATTCCCCTGTTGTGTTCTGCCACAATGACATGCAATTATTCAATGTTTACATGTTGTGTTGTAGGGAAACCCTAGCTGCTGTACATTCCCCCGTTGTGTTCTGCCACAATGACATGCAATTATTCAATGTTTACATGTTGTTACTAGGGAAACCCTAGCTGCTGTACATTCCCCCGTTGTGTTCTGCCACAATGACTTGCAATTATTCAATGTTTACATGTTGTGTTGTAGGGAACCCCTAGCTGCTGTACATTCCCCCGTTGTGTTCTGCCACAATGACATGCAATTATTCAATGTTTACATGTTGTGTTGTAGGGAAACCCTAGCTGCTGTACATTCCCCCGTTGTGTTCTGCCACAATGACATGCAATTATTCAATGTTTACATGTTGTTTTGTAGGGAAACCCTAGCTGCTGTACATTCCCCCGTTGTGTTCTGCCACAATGACATGCAATTATTCAATGTTTACATGTTGTGTTGTAGGGAAACCCTAGCTGCTGTACATTCCCCCATTGTGTTCTGCCACAATGCATGCAAGAATTATTCAATGTCTACATGTTGTTACTAGGGAAACCCTAGCTGCTGTACATCCCCCCGTTGTGTTCTGCCACAATGCATGCAAGAATTATTCAATGTTTACATGTTGTGTTGTAGGAGAACCCTAGCTGCTGTACATTCCCCCGTTGTGTTCTGCCACAATGACATGCAATTATTCAATGTTTACATGTTGTGTTGTAGGGAAACCCTAGCTGCTGTACATTCCCCCGTTGTGTTCTGCCACAATGACATGCAATTATTCAATGTTTACATGTTGTGTTGTAGGGAAACCCTAGCTGCTGTACATTCCCCCGTTGTGTTCTGCCACAATGACATGCAATTATTCAATGTTTACATGTTGTGTTGTAGGGAAACCCTAGCTGCTGTACATTCCCCCATTGTGTTCTGCCACAATGACACGCAATTATTCAATGTTTACATGTTGTGTTGTAGGGAAACCCTAGCTGCTGTACATTCCCCCATTGTGTTCTGCCACAATTACTTGCAATTATTCAATGTTTACATGTTGTTACTAGGGAAACCCTAGCTGCTGTACATTCCCCCGTTGTGTTCTGCCACAATGACATGCAATTATTCAATGTTTACATGTTGTGTTGTAGGGAAACCCTAGCTGCTGTACATTCCCCCGTTGTGTTCTGCCACAATGACGTGCAATTATTCAATGTTTACATGTTGTATTGTAGGGAAACCCTAGCTGCTGTACATTCCCCCGTTGTGTTCTGCCACAATGACATGCAATTATTCAATGTTTACATGTTGTGTTGTAGGGAAACCCTAGCTGCTGTACATTCCCCCGTTGTGTTCTGCCACAATGACATGCAAGAAGGCAACATTCTGTTTATGGAAGATGAGGAACCAGGAAACCAGTTACTGCCAATTGACTTTGAATATGCAGGATATAACTACAGGTTTGAAAACACTTACAGTAAATTTTAAATGTTTCGAACTACTTTGAATTTAAAAAATAAGCAAACAAAGGACCATATTGAAACAGTATATGTAAAAATAGAAACATTTATACATGTCCTAACTTTTGTATATTTTAGTTTGTTTTGTAGTTTAGCTATCATATCTGTGGCCTCTTATATTTTGATGCTTCTCTGCCATGTTATTTTTGGAAAAATTAACATGGCTGAAACTCCCTAAATTACAAAAGGCCACAGCTTTGCTGCACATTATACATAACTATCTGAAATATACAAAAACTAGGACAAGTACATATGTTCCTATTTTTTTATATACCGTTGCAATAAATTCATTTGATTGCTAATTTTTTAAATTTAAAGTAGTTCCAAACATTTAAAATGTTATTGTAGTTTAAAAAATAATTAATTCATAAAAGGCCCATATTTACTTTCATTTATATTGTAGTCTTACCTGATATCTGATAAGCATCAACCACATTTTTGAAAAGCTTCATTTCGTTAAGACCATTTGGGCAAATTTTGGGCCAAACTTGTCAAAATGAAAGTCCCTTGGAATTTTACAAAAAGTGGAATCTGGCTATGGCCTATAAAGACTAAGTTTTAAACCTTGCAAATTATGAGAAGAGGGTGCCTAGGACTTAACTTCTTACTCTTTTGTAGATTTAATTAGCTTGTTCAGATTGATCAGTTAAGAATCATAACATCTTAATAAGCAAACAATTATACCAAAGTTACCCCTTACTATTATGTTTACCTACATAGTTCTAAGCCATTCATACTTTCTGGCAGGGAGATATGTTGTATACCTTGCAGATCAAAACACAATTTCCAATTACCCATGACCCCTGCCCCCTATGTAGAATAAAACGATGAATAATAGAGACTGACCCCTAGCTATAAAATACATAAAATAACTAGTCATTTAGGTCAAATAAACCTTCTTATTTTACCTTGGCAAAAAGCATAAATGTTTCACATTGTGCTGTATTTTAAGGGGTATACTGTTATGTAATTGATCTGGTACTGTATGATACTGTTATGGATTTGTAATGTTTATTAGACAGTTGTTCATTGGTCAATTTCTTCTTCAGGGGCTTTGATATTGGTAATCACTTCTGTGAGTGGTCGTACAGCTATAAAAATGATCGCCCGCCATATTACCATGCCAGCCTTGCAGACTACCCCTCCAGAGATCAACAGGTAGGACCCCCTATAATGATTACAAGTGACATATCAGACCCCCTATAATAATTTAAGTGGTGCAACTTGTGGTGAAAACTTTGAGACAATTCGAGTAAAATAATTAAGTTAAATCGATAAAAATATGTCTTTTGAAATCATAATTTCTTAAAAATATAATGAAGAAAATTGCATTGCTAGAACTAAGCAAATTGCTCTCATTGCATCACTAACATGACTCCAGAACTATTTACTACATCACTAAAATGTAATAATGTTACAAAATATTTACATTTTTAGTGTTGTATGCATTGTAGAATTAATAAGCAAAGTTGTCATGAATGCACAAACTTCTATTGTTAATAAATCTTTACAAAAAACTCAAAAAGTATCTCATAGATGGCTCTCATATTTCAGCTGTTGTTCATTCGAGAATATATTCGTGAATCAGGCATCGAGAATGACAATGGAGAGACAGAGGAGAAAATGTTACTAGAAGTGAACACATATGCTCTAGCGTCACATTTCATGTGGACACTATGGTCAATAGTACAGACCAGGATCTCTCATATACAGTTTGGCTATTTGGTAAGATTGAATTTTAAATGGCAGAAATTTCAAGCTCTTTGTGTTACAATAGTGAGGGTGAACAGTGATCTCCCGAGCATTAAAGCAAGTGGGCACAGCACCCAACTGAGATTTTGAAAACAGGTTTGCACCCACCTGAGAATCCATTTGCACCCACTTGGAAATGAGAAAAATCATGGAATATTGGTATGTTTTGGCCAATTTTGGTCTGAATTGTGAAAATGCGATTTTGCACCCACTTAGAAAAAATTCTGTGGAGAACACTGGTGAATGTATCTATAGCATCCTCTTAATCCATTCAACATATAATTTGATAATATTAAAACATCCATGAGGTAATTTTGATATTTTTGGTTTTGCACTAGTTGAAATTCAGTTTCAAGAAACTCTACCCTCCTGATCACACTATTCTCCATTACGGCATCTTACCCCTCACAAGGAACATAAGGAAAAATGTTGTACAGTAATGGAAAATAGCCTGAAATAAGTGTCACTGGATTTATTTTCAGGACTATGCATTAGCACGCATAGAGGGATACTTCTGGCTGAAAGACCGCATCAACACATTTTCAAACCATCAAACAAGAAAGCAGTAATTGACTGGAGCAGCATGTTTGATACAAAGTATGCATGAAATTGAAATAAAACACGGTAAAACCTGAGAAAATGGAACACCTTTGCCACTTCAAAATGGTGTTTCACATCAGAGGTGTTTAACACACAGAGGTTCAGTTCACATTAAGTAAATGAGAAACAGGACTTGGAAAAGTGTTCCACTTATAAAGGTGTTCCACTTTACAGGTTTTACTATAATGTAGAATCCAGTTCAAATGATCTATTTTAGTCATTCATTGAGCTGTTATGTACAGCTGTTGTGTAAAGCTGTTTTCTAGCCATAATGGAACAGTATTACCAAATTAACAGTACTACAGTGTATTAAAACGATGGAATTGATAACAGGGAACTTTTTTTATGACTTGTAAGATTTTGTTGTTTTATTTTACAGAGACAAAACTACCCATATGTTTTTTGAAATTGTCTTATTTGCATGTACATATCACATGGTGTTTTTATTTTGTGGTATATTTTTCTGAATTGTGTTTTGTGCAATCTGTAAAATCAGGAATCATATCAAATGTAAATTATTGTAATGATTTGAATTTGTAATGTATAATTCAAAGCAAATAGAGGAAGTTATGCAATATATTTAAAATTGGCCAGTGTTCCAAAGTGGAATTTGAGATGCGGTCTTTTATTGAATAAAACAGTTATTTAATGGTTGAATATGGGGTGGGTCCTATCTATACAGGAAGTAAGTAAAGAAAAATATCTAACATATGTATCAGTGGCCTCTCAATAAAAATATATATTTCCCTCAAGATAAACCCCATATCCAACACCTTCCAATAAAACTTATGTTATGCGAAGTTTTATTTCTTTGACTGTTTTTTCTCAAATTCCAGCCATGTGACTTAGCCTGTTGCTCAACATATTTTGTGAGTTCAATTGCCATGTAAAGATTTAAGTGTAACCTGCAGTCAAAAATGAAACCACTCTGTTCAAATAATGCTCAATACAGTGACAATGACTAATCTGTTCTTTATTGGCTTGATGACATACCAAAGTCTCAGGCATAAATTTCACCTTTTGTAAGATCTTTCTTTTCGTATAAAAATGTACCTCTGAATGTGTACCTTGAACAGGGTATATGGCAAATTATAGGTTATAAGTATTTTTTCCAAAGCTCATGTTCTATTTGGCTTCAATCAATGAACCCAAATTGTCCCCCAGAAGTATGCTAACATTATTTTTCAAAATTCGCTTTAGTTTTTGGCTAATAATGTAATTTAAGGTGTTAAATCAACTGCCATATTTATTAAAACTAATTGAAGCTGTTTATATTTTTTATGGTTCTCTTCCATCATTACCAATGCAAATTTTCCATAATTTGGGAATATAACCATGGGGATGGGGATACACAATTAAAGCAGCTAAGATAGGTGCCAATTGTATTGTAGATTTTTCAGATAGCTGTTTAATCCATCTAGCTTTCTATTAGCTGTCCATTCTCTAATTTCCAATTATTATAACACAATGAACAGTGTAAAATCTACATTACAAGTATTTCAGTATTTAATTCAGTCAATTTAAAACTGGCTAATAAGTAATTATACATTGTAAGTGTGTCTGTCTCTTATACATTAAATGCGATTTCAGTGGAGTAAACTGGAAATGATCAGTCTACAAATTTTTAATTTTTGTGCTCTGAAAAGTGTTCCACGGACAGAGGAGTTCCACTTCTAGAGGTGTTTCACTTTACAGGTGTCACTGTACATATGCATGTACAATATTGGTGAGCTTACAGTACATCATATTATGGAGATATGTAAATACACAAATTAATTGGGACTTCTGTATATACTTAAAAGTAACTGTACTTTTAATCTGTATAGTACATCATAACATTTAAATGTATATCAAAAGTATATATTGGGCAATTATATTCCATGTTATTATTATGGGATCAAGTCACAAACACAAACATTCTAGTTATTTGCATATCAGCAAAAGTGTTACTGAATAAGTGGTGATTTTGCCTAATCATTTAATTTACCTTTTGCCTAATTTTTGCCAGTTTCGGTAATTAAATGTCAGAAATATTATCTTCATAATGTTATTCAATGGGAAGTGTCTTGTCATCAGGAAAGTTAAAATTAAGAAAAAGATAAACTTTTACCATTGGAAAATCAACCACTTGGATTAAATACCACTTATTACAGTATCCTTTTACCATAGGCTTTCAAGGTCCAGAATGTCTCTTCATTCTGAAGGAGAAATGGGTTCCGGAGTCCCATTTTTATGTCACCACCAGAAGTAGTGACATATTTTTATAGTCTCCTACTTTTTGTGAATGGTGTTCGAGTCAGTGTTTGGTGTCTGTAACAAATGGCAGGTGGTGACATTTTGCATGTTAATGTCTTGTTGGAGGATGTAGAAATATAAATCTTGTAAGATATATATTGATTTGAATATTATATAATGTTTATAGACTACAATGCACTCAGTAAGACTGTATGTGTTATAAAAGAAACCATTTAAGTATGTGTTAGATTAGTAAAATGGGCAACTCTGCAGCCAGGCATGAGGTAGGTGAGGTGAGTGCCTCATCAAAATCTTAACTGAAATAAATGCCTCGCCTATTGATGTTTGCCTCTCCAAATTTAGATTCTGGCTATGCCCTTAAAAGGAATAAAGGGAAAGAGATAAAATGAGCTCAGTTAGGTCTTCCATTTTCATTCAGAGTTTAAAGTGATACAATTATACACAACCTGACACAAATGGAAACTGTCTATAATAGCCCCTCAGTGAGTTCAGACACTAAAAAGGATAAAAACAATTATACTTATTATCTAATTTTCTCAAAGAAGACTCTGTTATATGTTCCATGGCCATTTTACTAAGGGTACATTCACAAGGTAAATCAGCATTTTTCTGTTCAATCCAGTCCTTGTTTTTAGAATTCGGGGTCTTTTTTCGAGAATATTTCCCAAGGCAAGAAGTTAAATCAAAACAGGGTTACACATTTGTATAAAGCAAGTTATCTCTCCAATTTTAGCATAGAAATTGCAATATTATTATTTACATACATTATTATAATTTTATATATGGAACTTTTATGGATTATACCATCAATTTATGTTAATTCTTATTTACTAGTATTGTAGGGCTAATTTGTAGAATTTCACCAAGAACCTGCCCTGGGACCTGAATCATCCAACAGACTCGTATTGTTCTGGACTCATTCATTCCTGAATTGCCATATTTTATTAAAGTGTATGTTGGAGGTTTCATTCATTTTCTACTTTTTATTAAAGAAACATTGCAGAGACCAGAAATTTTAATTATAAGCACCCAATGAAAAATTAGCTTGCTTGGATTGAATTTATGGATTAGCCCTATGTACTGAACATGTGAATTTTGGGATATAAATATACATGAGGTTAAAAACAACAACATCAGCTTATGTTATTTTCATTTTATTATAAATCAATTTCAATATATTTATGTACACATCTGTATTGCTGATAAAACCACAAAGTTTACGATGATACTGGCTGTCAGATTAAAACAGGATTGCGCCTAATCACCAGATAACTTGAGAATTAACTAGTGGAGCTAACAAAATCTTAACCTTGCCCCTGTTGATTTATTTGAAAACTCTCACTCTGCAATAGAATCAGTAAAGAATTTGTTTTCAAAATGTGTCCTCCAAATTTTCACCGAAATGTATTTGAATGGACCCTGGATGAGCCCTGGCATCTTTTGATATACTGCAGACAAAGAACTATGCTGCATTGGCTTGATTTATAATGTCAAAGGTTGCTGAGAGCAGTATTTACTATGAAGAATTCCAAAATTATTTTCTCTATTAATGAGTAATTCTATTTTGCAGGATACTTTTTAGAACTTTGTACATAAACACATAAAACCCACAACATTTGATATCATATATCTAGCGAATTCATGAACATCCTGGTTCTTTTAAGTAGAAAGAGCAAAGGGTTTATTGGAAAAAAACTGTTTTGTAAAAAAAACTGGTCCCTATAATGATCTTCAAATACTGCTTCATTACATCTCTGAAATGTTAAATCAATTGATATTGAAAAAAAAAATTCATGATTACATCTTTCTGAATTAATATGGTATGATTCATGATTATATGAAATATTGGTTAGAGTATATGGTACACATAAATACGTTTTCCTAAATATACAAATATAGATCTACTGGGTGCATAATTAATACTAAACGTATGACATTTTATGATATGGTAAACATCCTTGGCTGAATAATTCAATTTAATACTTTCAAACATAATTTATATATAGTGTTAAACATGGCAACAAGAACTGCCTTTAATCTGGCAATCTTGACTCCTAAACATTTACAAGATCTAAATTCAGCTTTCTGAGTGTGTGTATTCTTAGTTTCTATTCTGACAATGATTTTGTTTTTCATGATAAACATCTCATTTTAGCGCCATCTTTCAATTGAAAGACAACATAAAGAATAAACCCCACTTGGGCATACTTATTCCACTAAAATATTGAACTGTATCTATTTTCACTTACAATTGGCAAACTGCCTGTTATTCCTAGTTTCTTAACACAAATCACTGTCTTTAGGCCAGGAAAAATAAATAATATGTTTAGCATTACCTAATTTTGGTTATGGAAAAAGACTTCATGTATCAGCAAAAGTTCACTTAATATAGACAATAAAACACACTTTCTGTCAAATCATAACAGATAAAATATGCATATATCAAGGTTAATATTCCATGTATGCTGCACAATACCTTATTTTAGCTTACACATGGAGACTGTAATTGAGAGAAGCAGTGCTGTATACTTTCCCCGAGTGCATAACCTGAACATTAACATGTTCCCAAAAAGATATGCTAAACATTTAATTTATTAACTCCGGCCTTATGTCCATTATAAAAGATGACCATGATGATGTTTTAAACAACACAGACTCAAGAATTGTCTCATGAAATCAGTCCCTATGGAACAACAGGTCGCCTCCCTCGTGCCGAAGCTCTTTGTTTGTCAAACCTTGCTTCCATTTCCTCTAGAACACGCGGTGTATAGCGAACAACTAATTTTACAGAGCCTTGGGCTGCTTTTAGTAAATCAACGGCTCTCTCGTGTGGCTCTCCTTCTACAGACTGCAAGAAAATATTAGACACATAGTGAGCAGTAATATCAAACTAGATACAACATGCAAAATGTCACCACCTGCCATTTGTTACACACACCGAACACCAACCGCCAAGCACCAACCTCCAAGTGCCTCCACAAAAAAGATGAAGACTATAACGATATGTGGTGTTGACATAAAAATGGCCACCTTAGTCTGAAAACTACATGTAATCAGTTCAAGATTTTCACAAGAGGCATTCCTTGGAATCAATATGTCAAAAGATGTTTGGCTGAAAATGTGGCAATTTAGTATCCCTTTTTAGGTATGGTAATTGAAGCACTGTGAGATCAACAATAGATTAGGGTAATGAAATGCAAAATAATCCTGATTTGTCATTTAAACAGATGAACACAAATCAATTATATAATTTTAATCTAAATCTGAATCATGTATTGGGAAGCTTAATATAAAGTTTGCTGAAATGAAATTTTTTTTAAACATTTCTTTTCAGGAAAAGTAAGTATCTACAGTACATCATTTTTGTTTAAATCAAACAGAGAGTGTCTAAGCTATACATACCACTCCATTGACAGAGAGAAGTTGATCACCCCTTTTAAGAGTCTGTGCCCTGTCTGCCACACCCCCAGGAATGATACGAGATATATAGATGGGCGAGTTCTGTTCCTTACCCCCCATCACATTGAACCCTAGCCCCTCATCTGTCTTGGGCATTTCAACTACTCTGGGGTGGGCGTGGCCCTCACTGGCTGCAAATGCTGCTACTGTTGCCTGCAAATAAATGAATAAATAAATGTTTGTTTGTTTGTTTGTTTGTTTGTTTGTTTGTTTGTTTGTTTGTCCACAAAAATCTGGGAACAATCTAGTGGGCAATGAAATAAAGTACTAGCAATAGAGAAGTTCATATCTGGATTCTACAGGCAAAGTTATTGATGACCCTAAAACATTCTTCCACAAAAATGGCCCTGATTCTCTGGTGATCTCTCCAAGTTTTTTTTGACTTGGGGGTTTCTTTCATACACATGTTCCTTCAAGTACCCCAGAGATAAAAATCTGGAGAGTTCATGTCAGGCAAATGTGATAACAACTTTGTCAGTAGAATCCAAATGTGTGCCTGCAAAGGAATGGACTGTATTTAGAGCACAGCTTGTAACACTCATAAAAGTGCATCTAGTTGAGCTAGTCATCTGAAACTTATTGTAGAGCTGCTCCATGGAGCATAGTTTCAAAGTTTGTGTCACCCTGTATTTTTGTTATCCAAGAAAACATCTACTAAGGCTACACTACAGGCTATAATTAATACAGCACCATTGTTCATATACACGGTGAGGGGGACAATCTAGTAGGCAATGAAGTAAAGTAATATAGAACATCAAAGACTTTTTAAGTACCACTTTTCAAGTTCCCTGTTGGAGCTTATTATTGAACCACACATGCCTTTTATTTAGAAGTACACTCCCCTCCAAACATTTGGCTCATAATATATACCTTTTATTGACTCAATAATCATATGTCATATAAATGACATATCAGTCACTGACCCTCCTTCAGATAACCCTCTGGTACCTATTTGCTTTATGTTTAGAATCAGGAACACAGATGTAAACGTTGATACAAAGTGCTAGAACAATTTCCTCAAGGTTTGATGATCAGCCTTGGTTCACAAGCAAAATCAAAAAAGAAATATATAAATCTATTAATAGTGGACCACTAAATAGAGTAATATTAAAAACTTCAAAGAGTTTTTAAGTTCTGCTTTATGATGATGAAGCTTTCCATTAAAATACACATGTCTATGCTTAGACATACGCTCCCAGTCCCCTCCAAACATTTGACAATACTGACTAACCCTAGACAACCCTCTCGGCTCTGGCACATATTTACTTTTATATTTAGAATCAGAGACACCAGTGATCTCTCGAGGAATTTTTCATAGGAATGGGGGATTTTTTATCAAGTTTCAGAATTGCTCGTTCCTGCTTGTTCTTAGAGGAACTTTAAGAAGATCCTTTCAGACTGAGGATGAGTTAGCAACTTAGATTGAAAGCATGATTGTCCAATTTACAGTCATGTTTGCGCTAGACACCAGCCGATAAGTTTGAACATGGGCTCTCAATGAAAGCCAATGGTTTGAATCAGCCAGGTTCTTTGACCTGGTACAAGTCTTGAGATTTGACACCACTGCCACTATGGGTGGATTACATTCAGTAAAAATGTCTACTGGTCTAGGGACTACAACGAGTTCATAACCAACCTTTGCAGTTGCATTTGCTCTGATCTCTGCACTGCCCCCAACATCTACAGTCTCATATACATGCTCATAGACCTCCTTTACTGCCCCAAGGAACTCACTCTGAAGCACCTTCTGGAGGGAAGCTAGCTTTGGACTGGTTACCTCTCCACCTAGAGCACAAACAACAACAGATAGTGTACTGGTCAAATGGACTGTAGAGAGCAGCATTTCAAACATTTTAATTACATTCAGGTTTAGTACAAAAGGCAAACTGCATTCTAAAATGCTTGCTGATGACGCAAAGATGAGCCACTTTTTACTCTTCCTTATAAACTTTCATATTCAAATTGTAACAGTACATTAGCCATGTATAAACAAAATTTTTTACTTACTTTTCTGAAGCTGGTCTAAGAGTTCAATTGCACGACTTATATCTGAAATGAAACAGAAATATATTGTTCCAAAATTCATAAACTAGAGTAAAATCTGTCTAATCCAAGACTGGTCAAAAGTATTTCGATTAGGCCTAGCAGGTGCTCACATTTAGGTTAAAGATCTAGGCCTACTCCTTGTTGCGTGTTAAAAAAGGCAACTTAACTTCGACATATGAGTGTTACCTGAATGGGACCTTCACGTGCCTTCCAAATGGTAGTAAACTAACTCCATTATGTACCTACATCAGCTTATCTTTCCGTCCGATCAACAATAAGTACAGTTAAGGTACAGCTGGAAAATAACATTTTGGTAAAAAATTGCTATACCTGCACATGTTATTTTCTGGTACAAAATAAAGTATGGAGGCATGTGTCAATTTCCTTGCTTTTTTCAGGAAAGTATCATTACATTGTCTTCTTTTAGAATATCTGGTAGGAGTTCAATGGGATCTCCTGGAAATTCTGATATTTCACACTTTCTATTTTTCCAAATTTTCTTTCAAAGTTTCCAGACAACACAGAAGCTGCCATTGACCTGTTTCCAGGTTTACTAAAAGAAAGTGTAATGATACTTTCCTGAGGGAAGCAAGGAAATACACACATGCCTTCATACTTAATTTTGTACCAGAAAATAACATGTGCAGGTATAAAAATTTTTTACCAAAATGTTACTTTCCAGTTGAACCTTAAACCTGCACATCGCTCCAAAACGCAATATGTTGACACATATTGTTTTTACATTTTCAAGCTGTAATATAAAGTTTATGTAAATAAAAAAATTTTTTTTGCGTAATATCAAAGAACAATCATTTAGTTAAAAAAATAAAAAGGCGAATGCGGGATTCTAACCCGGGCCTCCCGCGTGCTCGGCGAGGGTTCTACCACTGCACCACCGTATTATTATGTATGGAGAGAGTAATTAAACGCTACTTATTTTGAATGCTATGATTCGGAAGTGACATCACGTTCTTCATTTAGAAACCTTTCCAAAATCATATCGCCGGCTCCGATCGAAGCAAATTCAATAAAAAATCTTTGAAATGACACATTTATCGTAAGTATTTCTACACAAGCTTTGCCCCATTTGTTCATCATTCTATAATCTTTCATTAAGCTCAAAATGATAAAGTTCACCCCCGAAACAACCCAAGATTGCGTTTCGGAGCTTAGTCCAGCTTTAAACAAGAAATGTAAACGAACTGAAAATATTCCCACGAATTTTCCGAATGGCTTGTCATTTCCTGAAGTTATGATATGTTATATTACCGACAATGTGTGAAAATGAAATGTTTGTTTGATGCTCGGATGTTCGCATTTTATTTAGCTCTTCTTATATATACGTAAAGGCTAGAGTACCGACAATTGTCGGTACTCTAGACTCTGATGTGGTGGCACGCTAGAGGACCGACAAATAAATTGTCGGTACGGGAGATATGCTGTGTTTACACGCTAGAGGACCGACAAATATTGATTTTCGAATTTTCTGGCGCATGCGCAATGCGCGGGGGGATATTTCAGATATCATACGAATATTTTGGGAACAAGTGCAAAACCCGGGAGGGCATTAGCCCCGGTTACCCGGGGATTACCAAACCCAGTCAAAAAATGGTAGCCCGGGAACAGGGAATGGTAGTAAACGTTGAAAGGCCCAATAAAAATCATGAACAAGTAAGACGTTAGAGAGCTATTAATGCAGAGTAAACGGCTATATATATTCTAAACAGACAGGATATTTCTCCTGAGCCGATCAGGCGTAGAAAGGGGCGTTTGCTACCCATTAGATAGAAGAAAATAGCTAGAATGTTTTTTATTTGAAGCTTATGGTATGAGGTTCCATATCCATCCGCCAAAAAGTATAACCCCTATATAGTCCATTTAAAAACCTGTGGTATCGTTCTAAATAACCCATAGTTGGCTTCTCTTTCTAGGGTACCTAGTATGCCACTATTTGGTGTCAAAATAAAGAGGAGTTCAACTTTCATTTGAATTACGAAAATAGCGATGTAGGTCAAAATAGTTCCGAACGTGAGCATGTTTACTACGCGTTTGCCCGTCATATCAGAATTGAGGAAGTGGTAGCAAACGCGAGTTACAATAAACGGACGCTGATATCTCAAAAAGTAACCTGACTCCGTATAATTTGATGTAGGTCAATCGAACCCCTATATGGACAGGTGCATTTTGATATATAACACTATGGGGGGTAAGCGTTTCATAGTTGGTCACGAACGCCATATGTGCAAAGTATTGTTATGAATTTTCGAATTTGGTGTTGGATTACGGTACTCATACCTTATAGCACAATTTTTGATGGAAGTTGCATTTGGCTCCCTTAGTTAATGGCCACAATTCCATCTCGCATGAGAGAGCTACCAAACGCAAAGTAAACAGTGATATATTCCAAATGAGATATTTCTCCTGTGCCATGACGTAGTAAGGGTAGAGAGCGACGGGGGCGAAAGCATCCCCTCCCCTAACTGTATATATCGACCCATTAGATAGAACAAGAAAAGAGCTTTAAAATGTTTTTTAATTGAAGCTTGTAGGACAATTTTGATGGAAGTTGAATCAATTTTTGTCGAAATAAATTATGGCTCACTACAAGTTAATGCCTGTACGATTCCATACTGCAAAAGAAGCACTATGCCCCCCCTCAAAAGAAAAAAAGTGGGTCTTGCCGGGATTCGAACTCGGGACCGAGTGTGTTTGAGTCGTGCTCGCTTACCACTAGGCTAACAGTGATGAGGTAATATTAAAAGTAAAAGTAGTGCATTTATTTATGAAATTGTCGGCTCTCTAGCAAAAACACGTAGCAGCCACTTGCGTACCGACAATTGTCGGTTCTCTATCTGCCACTACTAGTTGACGATAGAGTGCCGACAATTGTCGGTACCCCAGCAAATACCCCTGGACAGTCTCCAGTACCGACAATTGTCGGTCCTGGAGCCACTCCGTTATATATAACTGTACTTATTGTTGATCGGACGGAAAGATAAGCTGATGTAGTTACATTGGAGTTCATTTACAACCATTTGGAAGGCACGTGAGGGTCCCATTCATCAGGTAACACGAATATGTCGAAGTTAAGTTCTTGCCTTTTTAGCACTGTAACAAGGAGTAGTTTTGATTAGCCTATAGTGTGAGTCAATGGAGACAAAATAAATTTGAGACTGTGAAAAAGTATTCACATTAATATTATAAGATTAGTGTAAGGATATATAAATAGAAACACATTAACGGCCATTATAAGTTTCGTTACTTTATAGATCGTGTGTAGGCTAAACTCAAAATTATTCAAAACAATATTTCTTAAATTTTTTCAAATATTATTTGGTCTTCCGGGTTTGACTTTAAATGTTGATATTTCAGTCATCTGAGCTCCAAATATCTCCTTACTACCTCAGAGTGTGGATAATACCATGGACTATTACACTAGTATCACGTATGAATTCAAACGGCTATGACTGTGCAGTAAACCTACCTCTTGTTAAAGTGAGAGGTTGTTCGGTAGTCGCCATCTTGAATTTGTTCCTCTGGCGGTGATTTGCAATACTAAAGTAGCAAAAAACCTTATTAGTTTCATATATATCACAAGTGGCGAATATTGAAATGGGTTCAATACATACAACAATACATTTAATTAGATGTCACTTATTCCAACAATCCATATTAATAGGGTACAAGCTACTAATCCATTTTGTAGTCACCACCCACCATTGGGAGTAACTTGTCACCCTGGCCCCTCCCTCCTATATTCTCTATATCATGGGCTTTCAATTGAAAGCCCATGTCTATATCAAAACATGGATTTTACCACACCATGCCACGGATTGTGAAGGGCTGATGGTGAGAATTAATTCCTCTCATAAACCCTAAGAAATAGTATAATATGGATGAATACTGCTCAGTTTTTGGGGTACCTCAACTCCATTCTTCCACCTACATCTGTTCATGTACACAACTCCCATTTCTTATTTCATATCTTGAAAAGGTTCACACCATCATCATGTTTGGACTTGTCTCTGCTTTGATATCTTTGAGTTTTTTGAGATGCCAAGTAAGTAAAATCATGTAAATAAATTTCTTCAGAGAGCTGCCAATTCAATATGGGAAAGTACATGTAATGGATAAAAAGTTAGGGACTAAAATAATACTGGCAGGAGGCAATGGGTAAGCAAAAAATGTAATGGATGATATTTTCAAGAATTTGGATCTACAGGCAAATTCTCCAGGTCCTAGCACCTACAACGAGATGGATAAGGCCATATTTTGGATACTCTTTTTAAAAAAAATATTGTATATACTAGTAAACATCAGACATGATGATCCTCTACCCCTGTACATTGAACAATTAAGAAAATACTGTATGTTTTCCAACAATTTTATTTATTACAAAATAATACTTTTTAAAACTATTACTAAAATTAAATGTAAACACTACTCATTACAAGCTATTAGCATGCAAATTCCCTGCAGATGGGAATTAAATCAATCAAGCTTTGAAACCATGAGTAGCCTAGTGGCCGCATTGGTGTAGAAAGCTTTACTTTTCTTTCATACATTTTTAAAAATACACGTTAGCATTCCATAGCACCAAAATATCATGGGCTGAAATATTACATTTTGGAATAAAAAAAAACTATGGCAAGTATTGCATTTCAAGAAGTTACTTTAAAGGTGCAGCAAATGAGAGACAAATTGAGGGTATTTTTTTAAAAAATTGGCTGGTACCATTTCTTTAATGCTAAATGTTTTTGACAGTATGTAATGCTCATGCTTTCAAGCGTATTTGGAAATAACTTTGAATGAAAAAGGGGGCATCCCCTTGAATCTTTTATGGATTTTAAAAATGAAACATAGTGGTATTTTTGGAAAGATTGCTTTTAGAGTTTTACATTCTATGACATTTGCTGCCACTTTAATTATAATAAAAATGACCTCGAATATATATCCAGCTACAAATTATTCATTGCTGTAAATTGTCAATCGGCACATTTTTGTATTGAAAAAAAAATCAACAATAACTGTTATACATGGTTTACATATAGGGTGTCTATAAAGTATCTTTACACAGACTTTGTATTGGAATTGTACAGAGATTTTATGGATACCATGTATATTTATAATGTTTCATATATAAGTTTACTGAACAGTATATGGATTACACAGTGTAATTTACAACTTTACAAACTGGCCAACTCTGAATATAAAAAATGGCTGAGACTTGACAATCTGACAATGGCCCAATATCTAATCGGTCATGGGTCAAAATATAAAGATGGCAACAAAAGTGAAATAAATTAGTAGACACACAACACTGCCATCTATTTTTCCACCTACATCTCACCTGGCCAAGTTTTCCTAAAATTGAAATTAATATGATCAGAACTTTACTTTAATGACAATGTTGAAAAGCTCTTTATATTAGGCTATATACGAGGGTTGATCCAAAAGTTCTCCACAGTTTTATCTAAAAACATTATTTCTTGGTGAATTTTGTTCAAACTTGGTCAGGAGCAACATGTATATGATAGCTTAGTATTGTATCAATATCGTTGAAAAAATATAATATTAACTATGTCATTTGGTTACCATAGTAACAGGACAATGAGGTAGGCGGAGCTGAATAAAATCACTGTTTATCACAATTTCTTGTCAAACAACGAGGTATTATTACAGAGTTTTAACTAGGGGTTTTAACATTAATGAAGGCTTTTATTTGATGCAATATCAATGTTCATTCTCTCTAAAAATAGTCCCCACCATGGGCTATGCATTTATTGCATCGTTTTATCCAATCATCGAACACATGCCGAAGTCCATTCTTAGCGACTAAATACACACTGTTGGTAAAAGCTTCAATCAGCGACTCATCTTCTGCAAAACGAATCCCACGGAGGGGCTTCTTAGCTTCAGGAAACATGATTGTGGAAGTCACAGGGAGCTGTATCTCGGAAATATGGGGGATGCTTGACAAGTTCTGCTTGTAAATGCTCATGTATAACTTCTATTGTGATGTTAGCTCTGTGGGCAGGGGCGTTGTCATGATGGAAGTAGAAGCCGTCTGCAATAAACTCTGGCCTCTTCTTCCTGATGGCATCTTTCAGATTCTTCCTTAGCAAATGAAACATATCAATTATGATACCTCAGTTCATTTTCTAGTATCACGAATAGACCCACATACATGTACATGACATATTGTATACCTATGAAGGTACCATGGAAAGCCATATTATATCAACTAAGACATCGAAGAAATCAAGTGTCCAAAACACAGGGTCCAAGTCAGGTCCAAAACCCGGGATTCACAACTTACCTTAATGTTTGAATGATATGCAGAATTCACAGTAACACCAGTTGGCACGGCTTGAACGAGGATGATTCCGTGGATGTCGAAAAAGATGATAAACATCACTTTAGATGCAGATTTCTGTACCTTTGCCTTCTTTAGCCTATCAAATTCAACTCCACAGTACTGGCTACGCTAAGAAGCCCCTCCATGGGAATCGTTTTGCAGATGATGAGTCGCTAATTGAATGGACTTAGGCAATCGGCATGTGTTCAATGATTGGATTAAACAATGCAATAAATGCATAGCCCATGGTGGGGACTGTTTTGAGGGAGAATGAACATTGATATTGTATCAAATAAGAGCCTTCATTAATGTTAAAAACCTTGGTTAAAACTCTGTAATAATACCACGTTGTTTGACAAGAAATTGTAATAAACAGTGATTTTATTCAGCTCCACCAACCTCATTGTCTTGTTACTATGGTAACCAAATGACATAGTTAATATCATATTTTTTCAATGATATTAATACAATAGCAAGCTATCATATACATGTTGCTCCTGACCAAGTTTGAACAAAATTCACAAAGAAATATTTTTTTTAGATAAAACGGTGGAGAACTTTTATATCAGATATCGTATATCAGTATTACATACCTAGCGAAGCATTTGTATGGAAGTCAATGGGAAAGTTAGCGAGCTATATCCACTGATATTGCCCGATTACCCCGATATATCCCGCTTACCTCGTTTTGATATTAGATTTCTTTAATAACCATGATAATATCATGACGTCACGTCATTGATACAAAGTAACCATGGGAACAAAGGCATGTAATACATCAGTTATGTCACTATGACGTGAAATATGCCTTCGTTCTTGCCCAAATATAGAGCCTCCCAAGGTCGGCCTATATTGGGAGAACTCAGGCATATTTCACGTCATAGTGACATAACCTCTAATTATAATCACCTTCAATTTCTTATATTTAAGGTTTATTCTGATTATATAATCACTATATTATTACCAAAATAAAAACTAATACAAGTCTCTGATCTTATCAGATCTATACTTTAATAATAGCAACGTTAACAAGATACAAATTATTTGGCACTGATTAGTTTTGATATGGTTATATTTTCTTGAAAACATAAATATGTTTCCTTTTACATATTTCAATAGTTACTCCAAAATAGCATAAAAAGTACCTGAGAATTGTTAACATTTTTTTGATAGTTTACTGTTGAAAATCAGAGGCTACCAGTTGCACTGGATTCTTGTTTTTTTAATTATGGCAATTATTCTGTTGGGAAATCGACTACTAAGGGGAGGCATCAAAAGTTCGATGTCGGATAGAAAACTAAATAAATCTAGTTAGGGGGGTTAGGGGGTTCAAACCCATTTCAGTTTGCTATCCAACAAATTTCAACATTTCAAATTTTTGCCAATTTCGACTCAGAATGCCTTGGAATGGGTTTAAAAAAAGATTTTACCTGCTGCTTTCTTCGTCAAGATCATTCCAATGGATTCTATTCTATCAATAGTTGTTAAAAGCCAAAAATTATGATAGGAATTAACAAAAACTAGATCGTGTTTAGCAATAATTTTTCAAATTCTCAAACCGGAAGTCAGCGATCAACTTTCATGGTATTTAGTTTTGAGGGGGAGGGGGGGGGGTCAGAGTCAAAACTAGATTTATTTAGTTTCCGATCTGACATCGAACTTTTGATGCCTCCCCTAACTATTGAGTCAAATACTTTATACATCATGCATACCATAGGAGACTATAATATCAAACATTTGACAGCACCTAAACTACATATGTACATGTTAATGATATGTGTACATGTAACTAACATCATATAAATGTGGTATATAAATGTTTTGATATGAACATTAAACAAGCTTAACTTTATATCAAGGCTTAGTTTATCTAATACTGCTAGTAAATACACTGCTATTCCGCACTATTAACACTAATAGCTGTATTACATACTCAGATACACAGCATATAGCACCTAATGTTCATCTATGTATATTGCACATTGCATTAGTAAGCAAGCCTACATGAAGGGTCCAAATTAATAACCCACTTCAATCTCCACATTTTACAATTTAAATGTACAGTAAAACCTGTGTATATTGAATATTTTTGTTGGTAGGTGTTCACTACAGAGGGTACTTTACAGAGGTCAGTAGAGTATAATGGTGTGGAGGATGGGTGTCCACTAGAGATAGGTGTTCACAAAGACACGTTTTACTGTATATTCTAGGGACTGAGCCCATGACAGTCATATTTCTGCACAATTAATATTTCGACACAATTTAAAGGCATAAAATACTTTTCTAATAATTCTGCTATTAGAGTATTACAAAAATGTCTGTATAAACACTGCCATGCTCTCAATAATAAGCATCAGGGCCACTTTATATATAAACCTTAAGAGGGCCATTTCATACACTTGTACAAATTATTGCAATGATCTCTCCAGTCTGAGAGCAGATGGGTGATTCACCCTGTTGAAAATTTTAAAATCACATGCCACCCTTTTAAATTCTGGTTGCACCATGTCAAAAGGGTGAAATATTGAACAAAACATGTATATTTGGGGTTTAATACCCCGTTGAGAAAAAACTGGAAAAATTACTGTATTTTACAGTTTAAATCAGGAATCG